TCCGTTCCTGTCTCACAAAAAATTGGACGTCTCTGTCAGCTCTGTTCAGATCCTGATTGATCCAATAAACTTCTTTCTTTGCTTTTTCAGAATCCACTTCTATCTTCCAACCTTTACCATAGTTACTCCAATGCAATGCAGCCTCTTTTGATTTTAGTTTTACTATCAGCGGTCTAGGTTGATGTTCCCTGCTTTCACCAGATTCAGTTAATTTACCTGCCCGGAAACAGGACACAATCACGTCTTCTTCCATGCCACAGGTTTCATGTAAAAACTTGAGATCATTGCTTTGAGATCTGTTCTCTTTGATAGCCATTTCGGGAACGTGTCTGATGATCACATTACATTCTCTTTTGATCCGTTCAATCTTGTCAGCATCAATCTGTTGGACTGTTGCCTTCACTAATTGAGTTGGTGGCTTGTCACTAATAGTTGCCTGGAGGTCAACCTTCGCGGCATCAACGTAGCTCTTCACTTTTGAAGATGATTCATTGACTATATCTTTTTTGACAGCAGCCATTGCTGTTGGTAACTCGTTCTGCAGACTGTTTTTAACAGCATTGGTAACCGTTTCATTAATGGTTTCACTCAACTTAATCAGCACTGTTGTCGCATTGACAATGCAGTGTGGACACTTATATTGTTTGATCAAAAGCACCTGATCCTTGTCAAGTCCTGTCAGTCCAACACAATCAAGATGACACCATTTGTTGCACCAATCACATCTGATCCATAGAGAATCATCAATGTGTTCCTTGCAGAAACAATCTTCTTCAGGTTTAGTACGTTCTTCTTCAGCTTGTTCATTCGTCTCTACATGTTCTCTACTGGCTGGGGCACAATCAGTGTGCCCCGTTTGCCCGTCATTCTTTACCATCCCTGAACTCAAATTATTTGTTATATAGTAGTGTTGAAAGTATTAAAACTAAAAATCGAAAGATTACCGTTTTTCCCTTTAGAATGCATATCTTATTATACATTTCTGCCATGATGGATCTGAATATAGAGTAACCGCCTTTTTTACAGGACATTGTATTGTTGTTTTGTGGAAGCAAAATCATAGGGATCACAATTGCAAAGATGAAAGCCATTATAAAAGCTCTTTTATTTGAATTTTAGCAGTTGCTGTTTAAAGGAAAAATGTGTCAAACAGTATATATACAATAAATTAAGTCAAGTGATGCAATTGGCAGAGCACAATACAGAGTTAACGGAAATTGTCCACTGCTACCAATATTATATATGAAAGGTGTCTCATATTTTTTGTCCATTATTTTGCCTCTGTAACCTCGTAGAACAATGAGTGTTGTCCTTAACATGGTGAATCTTATTCTAGTCCTCACATTCCTTACCACATCACAATATCTCTTTTTAAGTAAAATTGTATTTTACTTTGTTTTTAAAACCGCTTACACTCCTTGGACATGCCTCCAGTTGTGAGAAATACAGCCGGTGAAGGTGGCCTTCTCCACGTTCAACACTCTCCAAGTACTCATCCTTCTTCTCCTTCTCATTCTCTTTGTATACTTCTTGAAGAGATTTTGTCCTGTTTGATAAGCAATTGGGGTGTGAAACCCTTATGTCAAGAAAGGTCTTATCAAATGGAGTCCAAATTCCTCTAGCAGATGCGTCTAGCCGAGCTTGTTCACCTGTTATAGTCTTGGGTTTGAGGCAGTCACCCTCATAATTTACCTTCTGTAGCTGGGGTTCAACTTTCACATCATGACATACCTCACGAAGGAGATTTGCCATTGTGTCTCTGATGTTGTTGTGGGTCATTATTACGTAGCCCCCTAGCTTACAGGTGAGAAGGTGGTCAAGATCACTTGTTTTCCCACATCCACAGGTGATGGGAGTGTTTGGTATCCACCAGCTGTAGCGTAAGCAGACACTGTGGCAAAACTCCTCTATGTTCAGAGTGTAGCCATACTGCTGAATTGGCAATGTGTTAAGCCAACTGGACACTCCCTTTTCTCTTGCTGCTAGTACTTCTCTCTTAGAGGAGGTGCCACATCTTTCAGCTATAGCATTAAACTTAGATTTGAATTTTGTATATTATTATGGAGCTTTGAATTTTATGTATTATTCTCCATGGAAAAACATGTATTTTTACTACTTTTGTATTGTTGCTGCATTAACTGTGAAATAAAAAGAACAGGTGAATCATCAATTTTGTCTTTTGACGTCAACTGTCAAGAATTAAGAATGGTTAAAGTTATGAATCATATAATCATATAATTAATATCCTCCCAAAAGCCAGATCTGGTGACTTAAAGATGACGAATTCCTTGAAAGTGTTGTTACTTGTAGTGTTGGTTGGAGTTTCTATTGCTATCAAGTGTAATTATGGAGTAGCTGGCAGCACAATCAAAGAAATCGAGTGTGAAAGTCCCCATTTAAAGTGTATGATGTAAGATAATTAGTATTTCTTGCACTATTATTGGGAAATTTGTGGAAAAAGGCAAAAGCTCAGTCGGATTAATTAACTGTAAAGCAATTAACGTCATAGGCAGGAGGGATACATTTGGGCAATTCCACGGTAAGGTTCCACTTGGTGAAAATGAAAAATGTTAAGATAGGCACCTAATTTTGGTTAAAATATGTTCATTAGACTCTTAACCTTACAGGTCAACAAAAGTTCTTTGTTTCATATTGCGTTAACTTTTGATTTTTCTCATTCAAAGGAACACTACTTGGAAATGAAAAAAATCATTCAAATTTTCAAAGGGCCATAGTTTGGGTATGCAGCAATATTTCTCTATGAAATTTCATACACTTAGGCATAGGCATAAGAATGAGAGCTATGCAAAGTTTCACAACCGTTACTCTAACACTTTTTCTAAAAAATTTCCACAAAGATGGTGTCGCGTCCGTCACAAAATTAAGCAAAAAAGTTTTTTCAGAGCCACATAGTGCTATTTATATTTAAAAAACCACTGTAACATATCTCTTCTGAAGGTAAGGGAGTACCGTAGAAATTATCAGGCTTGTATCTTTTAAGAAAAAAATTTTGGAAGGGGGGTCCCAACTTGTTGCGTCCGTCACATTTTTTTGAAAATGCTCCAAAAAATCTTTAAACAGACTTGAAATGCATTTTTCTTAAAGCTGAGACCGTCCTCAACAAAACTATGTCGTCAAATCGAAAATTGGACAGAAAATGGCCGAGTTATGTATAATTTTGTATATGCCCATATATGGGCGTACGGCTCACTTTTAGCCATTTTTATCCATATTTCCATTATATTGACTAAAACCAAGACAAATAGAAGTCAAATAAGGTTGGATTGTGTTGACTATGTTGACTAGACTATCAAATAACATCATATGCAATTCAATAATTAAATTTACTGAGTTTTTGCCATTTTATTTGCTTACAACTTTTTCAGAGGTAAAAGGCACAAAAAATGGACTTTACCCTATTTTCGCATATTTTTGAAGTAAAAATTCAATATCTTCCACATTTTAAGCACTAAAGTAATGAAACTTTTAGGAGATGGTCTCAACAGTATGATGCATTGAACAGTGATGAATGTTTTACCAGAGTTATAAATTTGTTCAAGTAGAGAAATAATTGATGCCCCTAGACTGATACCCTAGCGTATGCCCAATATGGACAATTTTGGCTACTGCAGACCTCTTGGGGGTATTTGAGGCCTAAAAATTGGCATGAATACAGAGTAGATGTCACTGAACAAGATAAAAGTGTCAAGTGGAAGATTTGGAAAAATTGAAAAAAAACGTGTGTCCGTCACAGTCGCGTCTGTCACAATTTGAAAATGGCGCCACGCATACAAAAAATTGAGCAATCTCCAAGAAAATGGCATCTCAGAAATCCCTAAACCTTCTTCTATCATTGTAATTCCAAATTAGAGACAATAGATAACTTTTTGAGATAAATTTGGGTACCATCTGAGTAGACACCCAAAAAAAGTGTCATATTTAAGTCGCGTCCGTCACAGGGGTGCTATCTCAGAAAGTAATAATGGTAGGGGTCTGAAATTTTCACACAACCTGTAGAAAGGTTAAATGTGGACTAATAAACAGTTGGAACTGATAAATAAACAACATCTCGAGTACAACATTCATTTGAACTTAAAAAAACAGCAAAATCGTGGTGTCCGTCACGGTGGAATTGCCCATTTGTCCCTTCATAACAATATAAATTATTTTCACAAGGCAGAAGATTGGAACAGAGCTTTCCTGTGGGGCTGGGTGTCATTCTTTCAGTTCCGGCTGTACTGAATGTAGCACTGACCTCTGCAACAACAGTGTGATGGGGTTCAGTTTCGGGGCTAGTTATCTCTTTGTTATAGCTCTTTCCCAGTCAGCAGTCTTGATGTTATTTAAGTAACATTGTCTCTATTTTTATTCTATGGTAACTGCTGTGTAAATTTACTTTTATTCTGTCTAGTGAATCTTTATTTTTTAGATTAATACTATCAATTTTATTTATTTGTAGATCATAATTTTTGTAAATTAATTCTAACTCTCTTTTTTATTATGGTAATTGTATTTTCTAACTTAAATCCCTGGGATTGCAATTATTGTGAATTCAATCAAGATATTACCACTTTTTCTTCTTTTATTCTATTGTTTTGAAACTATGTTTTGCTTACTATGATCTTTGGTATTCATGTGTTGCAAACTTGATACATTCATTTGCTTTTCAAGCCATAGTACAGGGCCCAGTGCAGGCTAGGCCTTCTCCTTACTCCTCCACATATCCTTCATATGATTGTTTTCAACTTATCCCTCAGTTCAAGGTGTGCAGTGTGCACCCCATAACCCGGACCCGCATATTATAATCTTTTTTTCGCTCCTTGTTCACTAGGACTGTTCTTGCCATCCTTTTTACCCTTTGATCCTGATTGAATTGGGTGCTTTTGGAAGTTTATTAAACAGATTCAAATATAAAGTACCAAAATTGTAAAAAGAAGTTTTTTACATGTAACCTGACTTAATATGTAATTTATTCCGTTTTAAAATAGTGTTGGTTACCTTAATCCAGTGCCTTTTAGGAGAATATGTTCCAGAGCAGATCAGAGTATGACCGGGGTGTCAATGTGTTTTCTCCAGAGGGCAGGATTTTCCAGGTGGAGTATGCTATTGAAGCTATAAAACTGGGATCCACTGCTGTGGGTGTTCAAACTAAAGAAGGAGTATGTCTTGCTGTAGAACGCAGAATCACAAGCCCTTTAATGATTCCTTCTAGCATCGAGAAAATTGTTGAAATTGATGATCACATTGGATGTGCCATGAGTGGACTAATTGCTGATTCAAGAATCTTGATTGATCATGCAAGGGTTGAGGCTCAAAGTCATTGGTTCACCTTCAACGAAAAGATGACCGTGGAAAGTGTAACCCAGTCAGTGTCAAACCTTGCATTATCTTTTGGTGAGTATGACAGAAAGTCAATGTCACGTCCCTTTGGTGTTGCTATCCTAATGGCGGGAGTTGACGAGAATGGAGAGTCAGTTCTACTGCATATGGACCCCAGTGGAACATATCTTAAGTATGGTGCTAAAGCTATTGGTGCTGGATCAGAAGGGGCACAAGCAACTCTGGAAGAACAGTATCACAAGTCTATGACATTGGACGATGGTGTGAAGCTTTGCCTCAATGTCTTGAAACAAGTCATGGAAGAAAAGATCAGTTCAACTAATATTGAAGTTGGCATCTGTAGAAAGGATCAGGAAGAACCAGGAAAATTCCGTCTTCTTGGCAAAGACCCAATAGATGCTCTTCTTACAACTCTATAAATACCCTACTAACAGGTAAACATTTTGTTCCTTTACTTCCTAGCCATTACATATGTTGTCCCATTGTTATTTTAGAACTGATTCAATAGTTATCACGTTTTATCTTAGGTGGTTAATTTCTCAGTACTCTTCTAAAAACTAACCTCATGTCATTTGAGAATTTACATAAATAGATGGTTAAGACTAAATATATTATAACTGCTTTGTAAATTTAAAAGATAAACCTCCCTCAGATATACCCCTCACTGGATGAGGCTGGACGGTGCACTTAGAACACAAAGTAGAGCCTAACTCAGCAAAAATCTCGACAAAGACGGTTACATGATATATTTATAAGCTTTATTAATATAATGTTCTAATTATTACAATTACTTAGTAATTATATTATGTATAATTGCAACGTGATGTTGAGTTTGTATTTGAATAGTAACTTTTTCAAGTTTATTATTGTTCAATCTGTCTCTCTTTCTTTGACTCTTTCAACCCCTAATGAAATGAATGACATAATTAAAAAATAAAATTTCCCGTATAATAAAGTAGTAATATGTCAAATGAAATCAAATGCCACGAATTTCTAAAAAATATGATCATATTTCTTCAACTGCCATACTTTTTAAAAGATAAATTACTAATACACTAATTTCTCCCTTCACTCCAGACAGCATTATGTACCCGATAATCGTATCCCTGTGTACCACAATCACCGCCTACATCTTCATCGGCTTCTACTTCCTAGGAACAGCTCGCTGGCCTTCCTCTTACCACAATAAACGGGTTCTCTTTGTCACCTCCCACCCTGACGATGAGTGCATGTTCTTCGGTCCCACCATCAGGTACTTCCAATCAGTGGGACAGGTGTTCCTGCTGTGTCTGAGTAACGGTAACCATGATGGTTTGGGTGAGGTCAGGGAGGAGGAACTGGAGCAAAGTGCTAAGAAGTTGGGTATTCCAGGTGAGAATATGAAGATAGCAGAAAATGAGGGTTTACAAGATGGCCCTAGTAATAAGTGGGATGTTGAGGTGGTGGGGGAGGAGGTGGGGAACTATGCTAAACAGTGCACACCTGATATCATCATCACGTTTGATAGGTATGGTGTGTCCGGACATCCTAATCATATAGCCACTAGTAAAGGAGTGACCTACGCTTGCAAGAATAGTTCAGTTAGTAGCGACACCCTCATCTACCAGCTGGACTCCGTCAACGTCATCAGAAAATACAGCAGTTTTATGGACTGCTTCATATCGTGCACGTCTAAGATCTACATGATCGCATCCCTGAGAGACATCATCAACATCCAGGGAGCTATGAAGCATCACGGTAGTCAGCTCACGTGGTTTAGAAAACTTTATGTAGTGTTCAGCAGGTACATGGTGGTCAACTCGCTGCGAAGTGTCAGTGTACAATAACGTGTTGAGTAGCTAGTTTTTAACAGTGCGAAGTTCTAGACACTAGTCGAGTTTTTAATGTTGTGTGTGTGTTTTTGAAGGAAGTGTTTTGTGGTGATCTGAGCTCTGGGCTGGTTAGTCGAGAGTAGAGTTCAGGTGTTTTGGTGGTTTTTCTTGAACGCACGTTAGTGTTGTATTTGTTGTATTATCAGAAGGTTACTGTATGTTATAATATGATAATTGAATCTGTATATTTGCTATTTTGCTAATAGAATTATGACAGGAATGTACAATGCGGTGTGGCTATATAGTTTATTATATTCTTATGTTATTCGTGTTTCTTGGTAGCACTGTTTGGGTATTGCCGTGTTTGTTGCATTTTGCGTATCGTTATTTAGATCGTTTTTTCTTTCAGCTTAAATGTGCGAATATGTATATCATTTTATTTGAATGCTTTAATGTTGAACATAGATAGAATTTTGATATTTCATCGGAAGTAATATTTTTGTTATTGGTTTTTATTTCTTATTGATAAAATTTGTCAAATTATGTTGCGTATTACTGAATCGTACGTGATCTGAAATAATTGCCAGGTTGTTAAAAAGTAAATAATAAATATGTGTAATAATGTTACATGAATTACAGCATGTGATGATACATTCTTGCTATTGAAACGCATCACAGTGTAACTTTACAATTTTTACGATTGCCTAGACGGCAAAAATGATATATCTTAATGAATTCTTTAGAATTTCATCCAGATTTATGGCAATTTGCCACAATTCTGTCGTCAAAGTCTTGAGTTGAACGAAGAAACTTCGAGACTGTTCTATAATATATACCCAATATCCATTGATCTGTAGTATATAAAATAACATATGTTGACCGGTGGTATCATTACATATTATGATATATGATTTGTAAGTGAAAGCTAACTTCCCAAACAATTAAGTAGACCCGGTGGTACAAGATGGTAGCAACAGGTATGAGCTCTGTAATGAACTGTTATGTTAATAACCGTTGGTTTGAGCTGGCTCTCTAGTCTCTAACCACCTCTACACTCTTCACTACTTCTTCTGTCACACTCACATTCTCGAACATACCTCCACACATCGCACTCGGGTATACACATTCTTTATTTAGCGTGTTGTGGGCTTAAATATATAACTCTCTTCTCTCTTTTCCATTGCCTCATCACAACACCGCACACTCGACATGTTACGTTTTAACTTTCTCTCTCTCTCTCTCTCTCACACGTCCTCTCTCTCGGGTTACATTCCATTCCGCTGACTATCTAGTGGGATATATATAAAGTGGGATATTATGTTATAATATTTTGTAATATTTCTGGGCACGCTTGCTCGTGTGTATCGTTATCTTACTTTTAACATCTGTTGCGCTGTGTTTTTATCTCTTCCAGTGTGAATTATGATCTGCTAGTCTTGTTTTAGTTTTTAAATATTATCGGCTGGTCCTCTGATGTAAATGTATTAGGAATTACGTTAGTCTGCTGTACATAATATAGAGTACTTCTCATTATTTATTCCTGCTTGTGTTAATTCGGCTAATTAGTGAGCAATTATATAATTATGTAAGTTAGCCTAAACTGGGCACTATTTTTAACATTCCACTCGACACAACGATAATGAATGCAGTATGAAAACACGCTGTGGCAGTTTAATTTACTAACTCAGCCCTTGTAATTTGTTATTTCGCTTGAGTCTCGTGAGATTGCAGCCACGACTTGGCAGGTTTCTCCGTTCTCAGACAAAGCAGGTCCTTTCTGTTGGGTCTTCTTTCCGGTTAACAATAATTCTGTGAATCTCTGTTGCTTGCGTTTTTATTGTCAACTTTGTACGATTTTTTAGGTTTCGGTCTTCGAGGTTCATACTTCATATCAAAATAGCAACAAGTATTGCTAAAGTAAAGCGTCACGCTCCTACATTTACTGACATCTTCGTCGAGTTAGAGTTAAGAATCTGGGGAATGGAGCGAGTTAAGACATCTCTGTCGGTAGTTTACTACCTTGTTCCTTGGAATGACTACAGAAACAATCCTATCATACCACCCTGCGAATCTGTCAGCACCTATTTCTTTTGAGAAGGCACCAGTAGATACTAGTAGATATCTGAGCATGGCGAGTTTCAGTTTTACCCTTCCCTGATTGATTTGCACGACGCACGTACAATCCCATCATCAAATATCCGCCTCCAGGCTGTTGAAAACGTCAATTTTCGCGTAAATCAACACGTCGTGTACATATTACTTATTGTGTAGGCTTGCAATTCTTGTTTTAACATCTAACAACCTCTCGACCCACCCCTCGTAAGTCTGTAATCGAGGCTAAGCTCTGGCTACGTTAACTGATTTCAGCATGTATTTATTTAATTTAGAGTACTTTAATTGTTAACTTAATATGGCACAAGCCTTATGGAATACTGTTGATAACTTGGCTGAGCGGGGCTGAGGACGTTAAACCTTTATTTAGAGCAGGTTGTTTAATTATATTTTGCGTACCTTCCTAGTTCCTATATAATGTCAATGAGAATTAATTAACATTTGACCACAGCTCCATTTTAATTGTGTTGTGGGGGAAGTCGACAACTTAATATACATCGCTTCTCTTGCTTCCTTTTATTTGCGCTCTTGTCAGTTTTTTGTCAGGTACGTGGTTTATTGCCCAGAATATCCTATAAACTTCAGAAATCAGAAGTAACATTGGCCACATTACATGATATTTAAAAAGTGAACGTTACTATCGCAGTTTGCACCAAGGATTCAGAATCACAACATCTTGCCTCTCCTTCACACAGAGTTCATCTGGGAATGCCAATACTTGTGGCAAATACTTAAACTTCTGTCTTTAACTCTTCTAGTCATTAACGAGTTTGAATAACGCAATTACATAATTACTCGTTTAATTCAGATCAAAATATGGATAACGAGGAGTTGTTCGGAGGGCTAACCATGGAAGAGCTAAGTAAGAGGGGCACTAATTACTGCACTGGGCAAAATCGGGATATTGCTGTGCACAGGGCACTGTAAAACTCAAATATTCGCGATGTTATACACTGTGCAGCACTGCAGCCCGTACATCGTACTTAAGTTAAATCGGCACTCTGGTATAATACACTTCAGAGGGGGCCGGGGTCCGAAGCCAGATTTTACCTTGCATTTGTAGCTCTTTGATTAAAACGGAAATAAAGCAGATATTTGTGGTGAAAGCCGGGTCACATACTCCAGGAATATGATGGTAATCAAAGTGACAGCATTTTGTTTTAATCCTTCTCTAATTAAATAGTGGGCGTCTTCGAAATCTATCAGGTGATATTTTGGGATCTATTAAAGTTCTTAATTGGGATAATTGAATTGCTATTTGTTTGATTTGTAATGGGTTATTTAAATATCTAATTTCCCGTCCAAAACAGATCGGAAAATGGATTATCTGAACGATGAGTTCTTTGAAGGACTATCAAAGGAGGAGATAGAGCAACTAAACTCGGAACTTTGTGTAAGTCAGGGGGGAGGGGGTGCAACCCCCAGTCAGAGCTCAGTTGATGGCTAGTGGAGTGACTGCAAACTAAGGAATTTTGGACCACACAAAATCTATATTTGACCTTGATTTCATCTTATGTAAAGTCTAGATTTTTAAAAGCTCAAATAGGAACGCCTATTCGGTGTTTCTTTTGACACGCCCGATACCCAATATCTGGTTGGCAAGCTAGCAAACAGTAAAACATTTAGACAGTGCCAATTGCCTAGTAACTTCTCCTATATGTGGTCTGTATGAAGTTAAAACTAACTTAAAAGACGTCAGTGTTGCGTAGTAATAACGTAGATACCTTGCACTGTACTGTGCTGTATGCCGAACACAGTCTTCTTCAGGACGATTTGTTGCCGGCTGCTGACAGGGTTAAATACCACATCGACAAGAAAGGACAGAACTTTATCGACAAGGAGGCCCTGTCGAAATGGATGGAGGAGGCAGCGGTAGCCTCGCAAATTGGACAGGATTACATTCCCTTCGCTAAGGAAACTAAGGGTGAGAATTGGGGAATATTTTAGAATCATGGGCGTTGGTATTCACATTTTTGATGATACTTTATTAAATATGTTTTATTTTCAAATATTCAGCATAGCTCTTGATCTGGGCCTTTCGAGATTATATATAATTCTAATATATTAGAATTTCGAGTGGGTTTATCGGCACTTACTAACGTGGATAAATTCCAAATCAATGACACTAATTAATTATCTGATAGTAATAATTGCGTGTTAATTTTTCCGTCTCGCTTTCATTTAATATTTATTGCATCTCATAATAACCTTGTAATCAGGCAAGAAGTTCGTTAAGGTTGAAGAAAAGAAAGAGAAGACAGTCTATGATGACGAGTTTGAGAAATTGCTTGCGGAGGCTGAGGGTATCGGTGATTGTGACATTACTGACGGTGATATCGACGCTCTTGCCGGTAAACTTGACTTATCTGATTTGATCATTTGTCTATTTCCTAATGGCCTGGGTCAGTACTTTGAATCAATAAACGGAGTCTTATCGAATAACAAAAGATAAATGCTGATTAACATTTTGTATAATCTCAGAGATTCTCGGAGCGAACAGTTTGCTGGGATCAGTGGATGTATCCTCGTGTACGAGACCGGGCAATGAGACCGGACTAACCAGCCCCATCCCTGATATCAGAGGTTTGTGCTGTCCGTTAAGGGTGATCTCCCAATCAGACTCAGTTGGTCATCACTCACCAGTCATCCTATCACCATGTCAAGTAATCAGTGACCTGACCAATTGTCTTGTAACGTAGTATAAACAATATAACACCCTGATTGTACAGTTTTTGTAGGCTGTAGTGTTCTGCACAATATTTTCACACCCCTGCATTCTAGATTCCTTGCCGTTTGAAGCACACTGTGCTTATTTTATAAATACACCAACATACTGCTACGGAATGTTCTCACTTTTTCTCAGCCGGTAGTGGAATGTATTATACCGTGTTATCTTCACCTTCGTGTACTCCTGTACACGCCAGCCATACATCCCACTACCAGTACAGCATATTATGCACATTTAAAGGGAATATAACCAGATAAAGTAAAATGTCCCACTTCAATACATATTATACTGATTAGACCTTACGTTCTCATTTCATTAATCAGCTCACACGCACATAACCTGCTATCGGCCCATATATTGCCATATATTGCTATATATTGCTATATAGATTGAGCTATTATTGAAGAGTGTGTCTGAGTGACAAGCTGGCTTTGCTTTGCTCACTATCTAGAGATCTAGTCGGCGGTGGTATTTTTGTTTATTGTCGCCTTCATTGCGTGGAGCAGTAATATGATATTTTTGAAACACTTAGCTACTGAACCAACACATTATGCTCGAATTATTATTTGTCATATTCCTGGTTTAAGTACTAAAACTGTTCCTTTAATCAGTATGAATTTACAAAACGTTTATAATTTGTCAAAACGGTTATTGCGCCCCGGCGTCAAGTAAATCCTTCAAGAACCACTTACGCAAAATTCATTATTTTCTGTCCTGATAATCGGCGTTAAACTGTTATGGGTCCCGCCTAAGGATGGCTGATATTGGTAGTAAAGTCCACCTGAAGGATCTTGAGTAACCTCTACAGTCTCAAGTCTACACACAAAGACACAACCTACCCCACCTTTGATCTGACCGGCAATATGGTTGTCTTCTGGTTTGCAACACATTCAGCAAGCAACTCTGGAATATTATGCAGCACATGTTATTATGTGTACTGTTTATTAGTCCTGATATCACCACTCGTTGTATTGTATTGGTTATTTTAGTGTCCTTTATTTTAATGTGTTGTATATTAGTTTGAACTTGTATTCGCCGTATTTGGTCCTGTGTGCAAGGCTTCTGTTTTATGAGATAAGAGATGAGTTACTCGGCTGATGTTAACGACGTATTTGTAACGGAATTGATTTCTCTGAGCTAATGTTTGTTTGATACGCTTTAGTGAATGCTTTGAAACTTAATATATATAATGTTAGTTTTTGAGCGCAGCAATGATCAAGCAATCTACCACAGTACTACACAGTTTCCGTATTGTAAAGCTTGTCTAGTACTAAATTACAACCTAAACAGCAGACTCCCCCTCCACCTAACTGGAGCCTTGTAATTGTTTCTCTCTAGTATAAATATCAGCTGTATAAATTATAATGTATTTTCGCTAACCTTGTGAGCTACTTCCCAACCTCATGAATAATATTCAAGTGGTGTTAGTGAACAGAGTGGGCAGCACGCGTCTGTGAAGTCAACTGTTAAAACCAATACTCCATACCTAGTATAATGTGTGGTAAATCATTAAATTAGTTTCGGTAAAATGGTTGAGGTTCGGTAACTTTAACAGGGGATTTTATTATTACTAGTTAAATGATTCAATATGATTCATTACGTTCCCACGGTATCATAATCTAGTTACATATAATAATCTGTTCGTAATTGGCTTATACATGATTACTTCTGACCGGCATACGTTAACTGTATGAAATATAGTGGTATCTTATCGGCATAGTATAAAGTATTATGATTTATTAATTATATTTTCAAGCCCATTTTAACTCCGTCATCTGTTATTATGTTTCATAGTTTAACACCCCTTGGCCTTAAGGGTCATGGCAACTCTACTTGCTCGATCCTAACAAGTCGGAATAACACCGCAAACCTTCATATTAGGTTTACCCAATTAGTATATAATTTGGTGGCATTTTGCAACATCTGTTGCCACGTAATAATAAACACTCCTAAATTTTGGTTTGGTCTGCTGCAATGTGCCAATCTTTACTGTTCACTATTTTCCGCTTCGTTTCTCCTTTGTTGCACTCCATTTGAAGACAACCGCTAACTTGTGCCTTACTTTTGTTGCCAGACTTTTCGTTTTAACAACTACTCGACATAAAAGGTAACCCAACACAGTGATAGAAAGCCAGTTAAATGTGAAGTTGAAGCTGTAACTTTGTTGTTGTGAGAGATGATGGGGGTCGTGACGTCATGTTGTCGGACGGACAAACAATCACGTGTCAAGAAGAGGGTCAAACAGAAGGAACCTTACACTTTGTACCCAGTTAAAACGTGTAATGGTGGTCACGTGACTTACTCAGATAACCGGCTCAGCCCTTATGCCATATCACGTAGGTTATCCCACGTGTTAAAATATAACATTTATCTGTGAAGTGTGGGGACCTCTAATTTAGGGTTATTTACCGATTACTACAACGTAGATCCTAACATGTGTTTAAAATCATATTAAAACATTTATCATATCACGTGCTTTTCACTATATCACGTGGCCATGTTATTGACAGAAGGTGTGGTGTATACTAATTTCACCTTCAATACACGCAGCACAATATGCCCAGGTGAAGACTGAAGAGGAATCATTACAACCAGGTCACTAATCACGAACATCCCATATCACATTTCACTATCCTTGCTGTTGTTGTATCTACTCACTGTTCGTATTGTAGTTGCTCCTCATTGAGTTATCTTGTCCTTTGTTAACCTAATCTTCTGGAAAGTTCGTGCTGTACCGCGGGTGAGTGCTGTCTCTTTATTCTTTTGCTGTAGTCGTGTTTGTGTACCAGCTCTTGTAGATATTGTTACTTTGTAGAGATTAGTAATGGCGAGTGAACCTGTGCTTTGTGGTAGGTTACGGTAACACTTTGTTATGTTGATAGTTGTAGATAACCAGAATTATAGTTGTAGATATAACTGTAATCAAGATACCTTGGACATTCTTCGTACAATTAGCCGCTTTGAAGATTGACTGATAATAATTTGGTACCAGTGACTAAATTAGTAAAACGAATGTTGCAACCAATGAATCTCAATTCTGTAATTTTATCCGCAATCGAGGTCAAACTAGTTGAACAACATGCATTGCTTTAAGTGTTTAGTCGTACCATGGTAAAAATAATATCTATTTTCACTCACGTCACAATATAAATTCCAACACTCTTTTATTATGTTATCCAGATATGTATTTCAAATTGTGACTAAATGCATTGCATTTTACTACAAATTATCTAATTAGCTAATTAACTAATTACCTGCATGTTTCAGCAAATTATCTAGTAGAAGCAGGAGATATGGAGGAAGTTAACGAAATTGATGTTGAAGAAACATTACAAGAAATACAGAATAATGATTCAAGCTTGACTCACTGTATTTTCAACAACGTTGTAAGTACACCATATGTTTAATTCTTTCTCTCAATAATAACGTGTTTCTCAACAGTCAACATGCTTTTGCTCTCAAGAAAACGAGTTACGATGACCTGTGCGGGGGGGGGGGGGGGCGCCAAATCTTCGTTTGAATGTGGGACAATTTGGAAAAACTTGACTACGGTACTAGCAAAACTGCGTGTTTTGCTCTAGAAACACACTTTTATAGAGATTTTACCGGTGTATACTCTAAATTCATATAATTTGTCCAATTTTAGGGAAGGGCGCCAAAAGGAGAGGGGGCACCAACATGGCCGGGGCGTTTTTCACCGGGGGGGGGGGGGCAAAAAGGCAACGTTACGCCACTGCTGTTGACTCCTGGATCAGGAACTTGTGTTACTAACTTTACTATAATATTATAACTTGTGTTACTAACCATAAACCAGATCAACACTCAGCCCCTCGATCAAGAGATGATAGATAACATAACGAGTGCTATGGTCGATAACACCAGCGTCACTAAACTTGATATGTGCAACTGCGCTATTACTGACGAGAGTATCGACGTAAGTTTTAATTGTTCTACAAGTTTTAATCTTTGTTTCTTGATTAAATGATTTCATCCTGACAAGTGACCAATCGTAATGATTTTTTGTAAATTTATATTCTAGCTAATATTCACATTCCAATTTTCGTTCCCAAATGCTTTCCAACCCCTGTGGGGTGTAGTGTTTTGTTCAACAATCCCTCTAAAAACTGGGTCAAGTATCAAGCGTGTTGAAAGCTTGAGCAGTAACCTTGCTTCTGCTCATTTACACAATCTAGTGCATTTCTTAACAATTGATAAGTGTTTATATAGGAAGCCTATTTATCACACAAGTTTGAGGTGAAAGGAATTTACAAGTAAAACGAAGTTGATTTTTGGAGGGTTAGGCTCTTGCTTCTGGTATCCGGTTACAACCTGAATGAAGACTATGAGTGCCGGCACTGGGACTACTCACAGTTGGCATATTGTCACACGCAATAAATACTAAAATTGTAGCGCGCGCTTACAAAATCTCATAATAATGACCACACTTCGCGTGGCGCTGCAGCGCAGCGCACGCGCGCGCGCGCGAAAATATAATATAATATAATTTAATATAATATATTATATTATATTTATTATTTGCTAGAAATTATCAAATAGATTATTGAACGTAACTTCCTTTCGTCAGGGATTCATCACCCTTCTGAAGACTAATACGACTCTCGAATCACTGTCTTTGGAAACGAACAAGATTACTGGAAAACAACTGAAGCTGATGGTTCAAGCGTTGGAGTTCAGTGAAACTCTCAAAGAGCTCCGTATCGCAAATCAGGTAGGCACACAAATAGGCACTTTTACTGCGATATATTTTTCAGCGCTTTGAATTGTTTCTGCAGCTCGATAAATTCTTTTTGATTGGTGATTATGAAATTTTCAGTATTTCACAACCGGTGTTGGTGACGAAATGGCAATCTCCAAAGCTCTTGCGAACAACACTTCCGTCGTAAAGTTCAGTCTAAACTGGAAGAACGGGGGAGCTAGAAACTCGGCTGATCGACTGATCATGAGGAATTGCGATCTTGCCAGGAAGAAACGACAGGGAATTAGCTAAACCGCTGTCGAGAGTTCAGCAACCTTTGTAAAGAGCAAAGATGGAACGATTTTATAGAAAAGGTGGATTTAAAGAAAGACTTTGATTTGAAGGAAATGGTCGTTGCTTTTCTATAATGGTTTAACCCATGTATGGCAGCAGAGCCGAAAAAAAGAAAACTTTTATAGTTTCGGGAAAAAACGCTTCAAAAGATTCTTTATACATATTCTCTTCACTTATCAAATTCAATTATTATCTTTCCAGACCGAATCATCTCGACATCTTATTCTTTTAAAGCACCTGTGTCCTGTATGATATGTAAATAAAACCACATATTCGGGTGTGATCCGTGTTCCCGCTCAGCCAAATAATTGATTCTAATCACTGACGATTACATTAATGATATAAAATAGTGCGTGATAATCAATAAATTTTTCAAATTAAAACTGACTAATAGTAATGATTGTTTGTTTTGTTAAATTTTGAGAATATTTAAGTTTTTATTGAGACTTCGTATATTATGTTCAACTTTATAAGATATTTACTTTATTACAACATGGGTCAATCCTAATTCATGTCTTTCATTGAATCAATAAGACCAGCTGATGTAAATTCAATCATATCTTAAAACCTAAATCACTAAATCTGAATCAGAAAGATTTCAATTCCATTTTGATCACACAACTACAAAATACAATTTTGACCCCTCACTCCCAGGACTAGGATGCTGAAGTACCTAATCCTCCCCCTCCTCGCTCCCCTGCTCCTACTCCCACCCACCCTCAGTCTGTTCCTTGTCTTCCTCTCCCTCCTATTCCTGGTATTTTACCTGCGACTACAGTGCATATCACAACGCATAAACGGGCCCACTATAGCTTTCTTCCATCCCTATTGTAATGCTGGAGGTGGTGGTGAAAAAGTCCTGTGGCAGTGTGTTTTGTCAGTCGTGGACAGATTCCCTAAAGCCACGGTCTATATCTATACTGGGGATGTGGACGCTACTCCCGAAAAAATCATATCAAATGCAGAAAACTGTTTTGGACTGAACTTACCTAGCGAAAATTTACAATTTATATACTTGAAGAGTAGATTTTTAGTGGAAGCGAAGTGCTATCCTATGTTCACTCTTCTTGGACAAAGTCTTGGTTCGATTGTGGTAGGACTGGAAGCCCTGTGGAAGTTGCAGCCTGCGTACTTTGTTGACAGCATGGGTTATGCCTTCACCTATCTGATGGCAGAATTGGTGGGGTGTGATGTGATTTCCTACGTTCACTATCCAACCATCAGTACTGATATGCTCGGTGAGTCAATTGTAAATGTCGTTCTTAAAATATGTCATAATTCGATTTTGCAATTTGATGTTCATTTAAAGTACGTTGATCAGTTTTACAAACTCTAGGCTTGTCACTGATATGGAAGCCTATCGAAAAGGACTCTATAAACATGGCTTGCAAAATACATTCTTTATTTAATTTCTAACGAATTGTCCCAAGTGTACTTTACACGACATTATGGAGGACACTGCACGATAATAGCAATAGGACACGAAGGATGTTTAAATTTGTTATTTTGGCAGTACAGTGCATTTCAAAAATATGTAATTACAAATTATGTCTTGGTAAAAAGGTGACAACCAAATTATTAAATGTTAATTAAGTTAATAATCGTTAAATCAAGCATAGTCAAGACATAATAAAAGCCGTTTAAACCGTCAAGATCATTAAGAAAAGCATTAATATTATGCATAAATCTTTCAGAGTAATGACCATGACAAATCGTAATTAATATTATCTTACCCAGTCAGTAATTAAAATAAATGGGGGAAATAAATACATATTACATAACGCTAGACTAAGCTCTGTAATTGGGTGTCTGAATGTAGAATGTCTTTATAATTATTATCATGAAATGTAACACAAAACTGGACAATCTTTGTTCTGTAATCGGTGACACTTGTCAGCGAATGTTTTCTTGATAAGTGGAGGAATAAAAATCACTTCTCTTTATCTCATTAAACCCAAATTTGCTGCCCATAATTATATGTCCCGTCTAAATCCGTATTTATAAAACCTCCCTCAAGTCTACTGCTAGTCTATAATACTGATTACTGTTCTCTGATTATTAGACTTCCTTTAAGCTCATCTCCACAATTCATTTCACTGTCAGAGATAAAACCGTGAAAATGCAATCCTGTAACCCTGTAGTTACATAGTTCACATCGTCTACAACAATCCAAAAAAATCTACTGCTGGTTTGTCGAGTTATCTAAATTATGATTTTATGTTCCAGACTTCTTGATGACATGTTAATTGTCTGAAGATGTTCCGCATTTCACTTCAGACGAAATATCTACTGCTAGTCTATAGTGTTCTCTTATAATTGAACATCGTTAGCTCGTCTTCAAATTCCACATTTGACGTTATAAGATGATATTGTTAGCTCGTCTTCAAACTGCATATCACAAGCACACATTGAATCTTTGTTCACGTTGTATGAAATATCTAGTTCACATCGTCTACAACAATCCAAAACAAATCTACTGCTGGTTTGTCGAGTTATCTAAATTATGATTTTATGTTCCAGACTTCTTGATGACATGTTAATTGTCTGAAGATGTTCCGCATTTCACTTCAGACGAAATATCTACTGCTAGTCTATAGTGTTCTCTTATAATTGAACATCGTTAGCTCGTCTTCAAATTCCACATTTGACGTTATAAGATGATATTGTTAGCTCGTCTTCAAACTGCATATCACAAGCACACATTGAATCTTTGTTCACGTTGTATGAAATATCTAGTTCACATCGTCTACAACAATCCAAAACAAATCTACTGCTGGTTTGTCGAGTTATCTAAATTATGATTTTATGTTCCAGACTTCTTGATGACATGTTAATTGTCTGAAGATGTTCCGCATTTCACTTCAGACGAAATATCTACTGCTATACTAGTCTATAGTGTTCTCTTATAATTGAACATCGTTAGCTCGTCTTCAAATTCCACATTTGACGTTATAAGATGATATCGTTAGCTTGTCTTCTAATCTGGTAACACTAGTCCTCACTGTTTGTGCATAGTTCACAAATTGAAACATCCCAATCTCTACTGCTAGTTTGGTACCATCTATAAATAGGTAGAAGATGATTAATGACAAAAGTAGGGGGAGGGGGGGCTGACCATATTAAAATATATTAAAGTATATCCCCGCCCTCAAATCGGGAAAAAACCTACATTTTAATATACTTTAATATACATACTTTAGTCTACCCAAGATAAGTCGAGCTATATTCTTCGTCAAACAACTGAATAATAACTAGATACTATATGAAAATAAAAAAAGGACCAACTTTTTAATTTAGGTTCTTAAAAATTTTTGGGGAAACAAATTTTTAACCGAAAATTTTCAAAGTTTTCTTGGAAACTACTTTTGTTCATGTTTCATGCTACCCTGATCATTATGAGCCGAAAAATTTTTTTTCGGTTTTCGAAGTTCGATATACAATTTTGGACTCGAGGGTTCCCTCTTATCTTGTAATGCGATCTCAGAAGGCAGGCCTCCCCTTTGCAGTTCGAGCTCGGAAGCGAGAGCTCTGCCTTCAGAGGTACCTATCGAGGATGACTCGGACCGAACATTTTTTAAGCCAAAATTTGATCAAAGTTTTTCTAGAAACTACTTTTTTCACGATTCATGCTTAGCCGAAAATATTTTTTCGATTTCGAAGTCAAAAAAATTTTAGTTATTCAGTTATATTTCTAAAGTTATCCTAAAATCACTTTCCATTGCTCGGTCTAAAAATCCAAAAATGAACCCAACTTGTTACCTGTATCTTGAATTTTAATCTTTATTCTATGGAGTTAATTCTTAATAGCCATTAGGCAATAATCATAATATGTTTTCTGTGGTATACAGTGTAATTAGATAGCTTGTTCCCGCTTTTACCAGCATTTTGCATGTTTATTCGTCACTCCCCTCTGCTGATTGTGACGGAATATGAAGGTCACGTGTTAAGGGTAGTTTACGCATGTGACTCCATACTGGACTGTAGACAATCACGTGACTCAGCTCTAGACGCCAGACGGTGATTAGCTCTGTACTAGACAGTGGCTGCTTGCGAACAACCCTGTTAAGCTCCGCTGTTTGTAAGTCACGTGACACAAAAATAGCGTTTCTATTGGCTTTCAAATGATCACGTGATATCGATCCTGCACTCTGATTCGCTCCCGGGCTGCATCGCAGCACACATTGCCTATAAATAGCCAGGCCAAGATACCATCGGGTTCCATTCGTCCTCTTCCGTAGTTTGTTTGGCACTCTTAGCCACTAGCCAGTGTCCCTCTTCGTCTTATCACTCATGTAGAGATAAGAGAGCCGTATCGTAAGGCATGTTTTCGTTGATCGCCGAACTCCCGTTTGTTCTTTGAATCACAGACTTTATTCCTGCTTGCTTTGAAACTTCCTCGATAGAGATCGGTTCACAACTCACAAGTGTGGTCACTTGTTTCGACTTTCGAGGATGTAAGTCTCACTTCTCAGTGCCTATTACCTACTCCTATTGTAGCCTGTAGAAATAACTTTACACTAGGCTTGTGTAATGAGTGTGCCTGAAGTGTGCATCTGTGCTCGACTAACCTTGTATTTAAAGCATCTAGTAGCCTACTATGAGCTTTCATTAGCTTGTTACGCCCCTAATAAGCGTAAATAAACATGTTAGGATGTCCAATTTAGGTGTTAAATGGTGTTAAAGATGAAATTTCGAAGAAACAATTCATGGCATAAAATGGAGAATTACTCATGGGTTTTTCCATTTTCTCCATAAAAAAGTCTCCATTTAATGCCATTGCCCCCCCCCCCAACCCCCCCCCCCCCCCCCCCCCCCCCCCCCCCCGTTATGAGCATACGGACCAAATTTGAAAGCTTTTGGCCAAAATTCGATCAAATTTCAATATTTTTGAATGAGACTAACTTTATGTGAAAGATATAGCGCTCAATATCTGTTGAATAGTGGATACTAAGTAAAAAGACCTCCATGAATAAAATTGCACATAAAATCTCGGTTCGGGATACTAGCGGGGGGGTACCAATGGCATAAAATGGCATAAATGGCATACGTTTTATGGCATAAATGGAAATTTTTATTGGCCAATTCTCCATTTATGCCATGAATTTAGGTCTTCATATTTGACTTTAAATTCGAAAATTGTGATTAGTACTTGAATAAGAGACATGTTTCATGCTTTATAACGCTTGGAATGATCGTTAAAGATTCATATGACAAATAAAGAAAGTAGAAATGTATTATATCATAAAATGGCATAAATGGCATACGTTTTATGGCATAAATGGAAATTTTTATTGGCCAATTCTCCATTATGCCATTTATGCCATTGGTACCCCCCCATACTAGCCAAAATGACTTCATTAAAATTGAAATAACTCTATCAGTTTTCAATATTTTTGCATGACATTTTCGGAATCGATTAAAAATTGCATTTCAAGTTTATTGTGGGCAGCGATTTTTTATTTAGGCCTCCAAAAAGATAGTAGTATATTAAAGTATATCTCCGCCCCTAAATCGGGAAAAAAACCTACATTTTAATATACTTCAATATGGTCAGCCCCCCCCCCCCCCCCCCCAATAAGGGATACATATATCATGAGGACCTTGTATGTTGAAATTATAACTAACCTCACGTTTTAACGGTATTGACTACATTACCAAATTGAAGGGTCTTTTCGTAACCCAAAGTACAAACAAATTAACATTCTCATGGTAATTCAAACGAGCTTTGGTGTAATAATCTCCTTTACTATGTAATAGCTTCCGGAGCCTTCAATCAGCTTCCGGAGCCTTCAATCAACTGAGTAATATATGGAAAAACCGCAACATCCAGTCTTATACAAAGATCAGGATTTATAAGGCAGCGGTTTTGACAATATTGTTATATGGTAGTGAGGTTTGGAACACAACCAAAAAGCAGCTACATCGCTTTAAGGTGTTCCATCAGCGTTGCTTGAGGAGAATACTTAGGATAAGATGGCTCGATCGGGTTAGAAACACTGAAGTGCTGGAGCGTGCAAAGATAAATCCAGTAGAGACGTACATAGGAGCAAACCGCCTGCGTTGGTTTGGCCATGTCACCAGAATGCCAGACACTAGGCTTCCTAAGTACCTGCTTAACTGGACCCCTGCCCATGGGAGAAGATCTAGGGGCCGTCCAAGAAAGAACTGGAGGAAATGTTTGCTGGAAGATGCTGCAGCGTTTACAGGAAACACTGACATAGACCTAGAAGGAGCGAGC